CCCCGTACCCCGCCCTCCCCGCGCCCCGACGGTCAGCGGCCCCAGCCGTCGCCCCGGAGACCGCTCGGCCCGCCCGGGTCCCCTCAGAGCCCGCCACCGCCGCCCGGGCCTACCTTGCTGGTGAGGTCCAGCTCCGGCTCGCCGTTGAGCGCCTCGCCGTCCTCGCTGCAGTCCGAGTCGAAGCCATCGTGGAGTCGGGCGGCGGCCGCCGCGGCCCTGGCCGCCCCGGGGGAGCTGGGCTCGGGGGCGAACATAGAGGCCGGCACCGGGGAGTCCATCGGGGAGCGACTCCGCTCCGCCGCCATCTTTAATAACTTAGGCTAATTCGCAGCCGGCTGCCCTCCCTCTTGGCTTATTTGACTAATCTATGCATGACCACGCCCCGTCCTTATTGGAATAATTTATGCGGAGCCGCCCGTCGAGCGGACAGTGACACATATCTCTAGCTAAGACACAATCGACCAGGCCTCTCAGCCCCGAATCGCCGCAGCCTTTTCAAGCACCTAATGAATAATTAATAAATCCCCAAACCCATCAACAAATATTTGAGACGTCACACGTCCTGGTCGCAGCTCTGGAGTTGGCAGCAGGGTGTCCACGCTACCTACCTGGGATCTTCCCGCCAACCGGAGCAGAGTACAGTATGACTGACACGGCAATCACCCAATGAGAAGAGAAATTCATACAACGTTTCCCCTCACCTCGCCTTCACGCTCCCGCCTTCCAGGGGCGGAGCGCGGCTCCCAACTCTTACGGCAAAACAGTAGGCGCCGGGAGCCTCCGGTTGATGGACAGCGGCGCGATCCAATCTAGTTATCCATAGGTCCCGCGCCTGGGGCCGCTGCTCAAGAAGATAGTAAACTGCAAAATGAACCGCCCACTCAATCCAATGACTGATGCAGTCGCTGGAACACGATGTCCGCTGTGCTGGCATACTCCAAGCAAATTTGATAGTAGAATCGATGCTGTATATTGTAATACTACAGCAGCCAGAGCGAAGTAATTCATTAAAACGCTGACCTTAGGGAGATTTCTGCATTCATTGCCTCTGCAGAGACAGCAATTGCATGAACAAAAAACAGGCAAGCAATGAAAATGCAAGCCAAAGGCACCTCACCACATTTCTGGTGAAACAGCTGAGCCAAACTCTAGGGTCTGTTAAGGTAGTTTCCTTTGGATTATTCTTCCACGATATCATCAGTTGTGGAAAGCCCAATCCAAAATGCCCATTTGCACAGACTTACATCCCTGTTTCAAACATCAGACGGCCTAGACCTTCAATGAATTTAGCTACTTGCCAAGGTCTAATAATGCTAACCCTTGCCAGTTCTAGGCAATAAAACAAAGAAGAGCAGCCTTTTGAGAAGGTAACCAACACTTGGAAGGCTGAGGCAGGAGGATCGTTGCAAGTTCGAGGCCAGCCTGGGCTACAAAGTGAACTCAAAGACAGCCTGAACTGCATAGTGAGACCCTGTCTCAAAAAGACCAAAAAGAAAAAAAAAAAAAAGAGAAGGTAACCAAGATTTAGGGTTCTGACAGCAAAACTTAGTGCACAAGAGATAGGGCTCAAAGTGGCCTTCTGTGAGCTTAGGGATCTGAGAGGAAAGAGGTAGTCTCTTTCCTGTTTTCAACTAGGTACCATCAAGTCTTCGATATACATTAAAATATCAAATAAAACACCTCTTTATTAATTTCATGAAGGACTAAGTGTGGCACTGATATCTACTACTGATGACCCGGTGATGGTGACGGACAACCCATCCAACAACTGATTGATTTTTATTGTTTTCTGACACTAAGATATCATTAATGGTAAAGCCTGTATGACACTGTACACAAAAACAAATGGTCACAGGGGGCTGGGGATTTAGCTCAGCAGCACAGCGCCTGCCTGGCAAGCGCAAGGTTGTGAGTTCGAGTCCCAGTACCAGGAAAAAAAAAATGGTCACAAGGGCCACACTACCAATAAAATGGTAAGTAAACAAATCTTTTTCAGGGAGGGAGGAAAAAAATCACCACTCTGTGTGCTTCACCCTACAAGATGAAATTTTCTAGAAAGAATCTGATGAAAATATCTGCGGTCACAGGAGTAAGGGAAGAGGGCTGGTGGCATTTCTGAAGGACCCACCTGAGGTTTATCTGGGTTTATCTGAATGTGCTCCCTTTCTGAGCCTTAAGCCACCCCTTTCAGAAGTTGGTTTTCTTCTGTTTTGTTTTGTTTTTTCTCTTTTTGAGGCAGGGTCTTGCTATGTAGTTCAGGCTGGCCTTGAGCTCACTTTGTAGCCCAGGCTGGCCTCAAACTCACAAGCATCCTCCTGCCTCAGCCTCCCAAGTGCTGGGATTACACACAGGCGCCACCATGCTTAGCCAGGTGTTGGTTTTCTTCTGACAGTGTATCATTTCTCTCTGAAGTCTTTTCCACTCTCTACTAGCTTCCTTCCTTCAGTACCATTGAGAAAAACACTGCAGTTCAGGCTTGAGGCCATCTTGTTTAGTACATGTGCTGCTAAAGCGAGCACACCATCTTGTTTAGATACATTCAGTGGAATAGCTTTCCCTGGTTTCCTATCATTTAATTTATACTTTTCATTTGGGATTTCACATACACATCTCAACTGAAAATCCATTATTTCATTGGGGGCTCTCTCTTTTGACCCAGCTTCCTTATCTGAAGTGTTTGGTGGAGTGAAAATTGTACCATGACCTTGTGTTTACTCTTTTTTTTTTTTTTTTTGGCTTTCTTCCAGTACAGAGAATCGAACTCATGACCTTGCGCTTGCTAGGCAGGCGCTGTGCCACTGAGCTAAATCCCCAGCCCCTGAACTTGTGTTTACTCTTCTCAGTTGGCTTATAGTCGGAGAGCTATTCCATTACTGTCACGGCCAACCCCGAGTCAGTAATTTCATGGTTGGGCCTTACCCAGTACTGGTGAGATGTTATAATCTTCACTTTGAAACACACTTTGTTAGCTGACAGATTTCACAATTTAAGATTTAAGAATTTAAGATTTTTAGTGACTACAACTGTGAAGGGGGCCAGGAGTGGTGGCGTACACTTGTAATCCCAGCACTCGGGAGGTTGAGGCAGGAGGATCGTTGTGAATTCGAGGCCAGCCTGTGCTACAAAGTGAGCTCAAGGTCAGCCTGAACTGCATAGTGAGACCCTGTCTCAAAAAGACAAAAAAAAAAAAAATTAAAAAAAAAAAACTGTGAAGGGGCCTTGAACTTGAGGTCTATGGGTGGGTCAAGGTTCTGCTAGTGCTTCACCAAGCTCTGGAGATAGACAGCATTAGACATAGCTTAGAGTGGTGGCGTAACCCAGGGCCTTGATGCCTGCTGCTTTGTCCAGGTTCACAAAGTTCATGGGCCACTGCAGGGTCACAACTGACTCAACCCCACAGAGCCGCCACAGCCACCCACACCGCCATGTTAATCCTATTTGTAGAAACACAGCTGGAAACTTGAGACAAGAATCACGCAGTTTAGGGGGCTGGGATTTAGCTCAGCGGCAAAAGCGCCTGCCTGGCAAGTGCAAGGTCGTGAGTTCGGTTCCCGGTACCGGAGAAAAACCAAAAAA